ACTTGTTCATCATGCAGCGGGAACAGAAATCCAACTGTCTTTACTGTCCCAAGGTGCAATCTCACCTCCAGAAGCTTAAGAGTGAATAGGAAAGCTCAGTGAGCCCCCTTTTCCCTTGGAAGGCTTTTCTCACGAGGACTCCTGCTGGCTGCCTGGCCTCTTTTTTCCTATGTGGCATGCGTGAGAGTGCTGTCATTCCCTCAGCCGGAGAGTAGGGATAAATAGTTACAGAACATCCTTTGCCTTTGCTTGAAACAGAGCTTTTTACAGAAGAAATTTTAAAAAAGATAGACCCTGTGGAAAACCTCACATTTCCTCTCCCTGTAAAATTATTTCCCAGTAAATGCCTATCAATACATTTGCTCTATCCATAGGCTAAAGGTAGGTGATTTAGCAATGTTTGGTTTTGTGGTATTACAGAGTATTCGTAATGAATCCACTGTGACTACACGTATTTTTAGTGAGGTGTAAAAACTGTGACTGAGTATAGTTTTCTGCAGTCTTTATTTCCACTACCTAGGAAGCTTTTAAGCTAAAGCTATTTTGATTCTCATTCTTCTCTCAAACCATTTGGACTACCTTCATCATACCTCTTTTCACATCACTCCCTTTTTTGGGGAACATATGGTAATCACACAAAAGATGTTCCAGTGGCCAGTTTTTCAGTGTAACAGAAATGCTGAGTCACAGCTTGAAGCAGTGATTGAGCACCTGGTGGCAAAGCAGGGCCAACCGAGGGGAACTCAGGTGCAAGCAATGCACCTGAGTGACTGAAAGGGGTGGAGCCAGGATCCACCCCTTCCCAGATCTCATTTAAGGGTTGGTAGTGGAGGTGTGAGTATCTTACTGAAGGTACCTGCGTATCTGGAGTCTTCTGAAGGTAAGTCAAGTCAAGCTTTCTTTTTTTTTTTTTTTTTTTTTTTTTTTTTTCCTTCTTCCCCCTCCTCCCCCCCTCCTTGCTTGTTCTTATTTGCTGCAGCCAAGGACATTGCTACCCTGCTATTATTGCTGTACTTTCCACCACATTATAGCTTTACACTCAAGATCCCCTCTAGTCACACGTCTATAATTAAAAGTAGGATTACTTCTTAGGTGTATTTCCAAGTGCTGAATTCTCAAAAGCTGGTCACACGTTAGATGCTATTGATTACAAAACTCCTTTAAAATTCTGAACAGCTAGCTCTGCTCTGGAAGAAACAACTCTTGGCAACTTTTCTACACCACATGAATAACAACGTTAGTTTCTATATTTTTGAAGTTCTGAAATACTGGTGTGAAAATTGAGTTTTAGGATACCTCAACAAGCAGTAATTGGGCTATAATTTCTACTGCAGCTAATACAGGGCCAAATTTAATACTGAAAAATCTTTGGTTTATTTTAAGGAGTTATTATGTCATAGCAGTGACAAATTTTCACCTGCTCTGGTTCCATTCTTCTGTGTGGATTAATGCACGTTGGTCTTTGGCAGTATCTATACAGTCACCAAAGCTTTCTGGTGCTGGCACATCTCGAGACTGAAGCAGTTTCACTTGACTGACAGATAACGAGCTCTTCTTTTTTAATATTATGAAATGGGGTTTATTAAAGGAGAGCCACCTTTTGCTAGTGCTCATGTGTTTTAATGAAAGAAAAGGTTTTTTTTAATCCACAGCTAGTTAGATAAACCCAACAAAAGATAAACTGCATAATTTCATAACATCCAGATTGTGTGGAGTGTGTTCTCTAAACAGATCTATTTTAAAAAATAGAAGTGAAAAAAGCACTTGATCCGGAATAACTGATATCACTGATTCCTCTTTAACAGCAGTGATTGTTTCCAGGGAAGTTTTGAAGTATTTTGTTTGCTGTAATGGAAAGTTCACAAAGAAAAAAAAAAAACGATCTCACCGAACAGCCTATCCCAGGGATGAAAAAACCTGATAGAACACAAAATTAATTAAGCTGTCATACTGCCACTTAATAAGGCCTCATACAAGCTAATATAGAACATTTGGTGACTGGAAATACCTTATATGTTTTGCATAGTTGTTTTTTTTTTTTTTCAAGCTCCTGCATCTTATGCAGCAACTGAGCTATCTATTAAATTCTGTGGGATGGTTTAAAAACCCCAGAAAGAGTATTTTCTTAGAGATTGTTTTATCTATCATGTAAAGTGTTATTGATTTATGCAGTGAACGTCTGATTCTATATATTATTTCCTTCTTCCAAAGAATTTTTTTTGTTTTGAAAAGCTATGTGCTTAGGCTTGTTTTAGATGGTTCATTAGTATTCAGTACTTTCAACTCCATCTGAATTAAAGGAGAACTAGGTCAAATTTGCTCTAACAACAGCTCCACGTGCCATGTGAGGCACAGAAGTAAAATCCAAAATTTAAATACATTTGATATGATAAAGTTCATGGTTTTGTATGGAATAGCTGCTTTTTTTTTTTTTTTTTTTTTTTGGTCTTTATTTCTGGTGCTACATGTAAAGGCTGCTGGTGTTCATTGGCATTAATCACATTGCTTGTGTCTTGAAGACCCAGGTAACAGAAAAATCAATACAAGTAAAACCATACTTCCAACCACACTTAGCTGCTATTGCAGTGTTTCTGAGGAGTACAGGGAAATGACTTAATGTGTTTTTCGAGTACTTTAAACAGTTTTATTGGTATTACTGTTTTGCCTTTCTGCAACTGCAAAATCAGTTTACCTCAAGTTGAAAATGTCAGCCAACTGGAATAGATCTGTACCTAATGAAAAACCTTAAAATTTTGCTGTTGAGCCCCTGCACAAGTTTAACCTCTTCTACTAAATGTAATACATCTATCCTCTGTACCAGAGTACTGTGGGCAGATTTAAAAGCACAAGGTAGACACTGTTCTGGCCACTGTGTTAACAGGGCATCTCCATGTTGTGTCATAGTTGTATTGTTTCAGGAATATTTGAAATTGCTAGTTTTTCACCTAGAAATGGTTTGAAAGCATCAGAAGGGAGCTGTTGGTATTGTTGAGAGCTGTAATGTAGCCATAGCCCTTCAGGACTTTGAGCTTCATGAAGAGAAAATTCTTTTGTGTTCTGTAGGAGGTGCATGTTTGCTCAACAGTCCATACTTGTGGATGCTCTTCTAACCCAGGTATGTAATTCTGGTTCTGGTAAAAGTGAAAATTTTCTAAATGGAAACTTGAAGTAGATGGGGACCAGTGGAGTTTCCTGTCCTTTTTCTCACTCAAACAGATTCCTGTCATCACTTCTTCTCACATATAAATATTAATTCCAGTGACAATAGTATTACAATGAAAATGGAATTTGGGTTTTTTTTCATAAGCATGTAAGCAAAAATTTCTTAAAATCTTTGAAAAATAAAAGTAGGATTTAGGTACCCTTTTTGCAGTTTTGAGTATATTCATGTTTCACTGCTTATTTTGGGCTGAAGTTATTCCCATATTTCTTCAGAATTGGGAGTCCCAGATCATGAGTGTGACTAATCTTTTATCTCCATTTAAAATGGTTTATCAGCTACTGGATCTGCCACTTCTTCAGTCACCTTGTCAAGGACCAGTTACTGATCCCACATCACAACAGTGGAATTTATGAGAGGAGCAAAGAAAATAACAATTCCACATCTTGAGGGAAAGACATTTGTCTGAAAGTCTGGCTTCATTTTTTGAGATGGCAGCTGCTTGGAACTGTTGACAGATTGAGAGTGTTGGAAATTGTCTTGGGCCAGATGTATTAGTGATCTAAGTTCAGGTGAAGTGGTCAAAGGTGCTTTATAAATGCCATTTCCAACATAGCTATCATCACTATGTTGTGGTATAGGTAACATAGTTATTTTAAAACATAAAACTGAGTTACTGTAGATAAGTCTCACCTAGTTCTATTCTCTTTCTCCCTGTCTGCTGAAACAATTGCAGTTATCTGAAATATTCCAACTACCTCTCCTAATTGAATTAGGATGGGCTGAAAGCAAGATATGTGGGCAAGGGTAGGAACGACCTTTTAGTCATGCAGTCACTTTCAGTCTTTTTCTCTGTTATTTCCTGTTATTCGAATATGTTGATCAGACTCACAGCCATGTTATGAGGATTATTCCAAGGAATAAAAATGAATAGAAAGGGGAGAAATTGAAGAGTTCCATGAAAATTAGATGGATTCCTTTTCTCTCACTGTTACATTTAATTACTGTGCATGCCTTCACAGAGTAAGTTGTTATTTAATATTAAATGGAAATAATGGAAAATGGAAAAATATTTCTCCATAACATTAGTTAATTGGATATAACATATAAAAATTTACACATACTTTTCTCAGTATAAGACTTCACTACTATCTTGTGTGATTACTGCAAAGGCCTTTTCTTTCTTGCAGTTGCCCACTGTTTCCTGATGGTCTGAGGAACGTCTCAGAAGTACAGGTTAGAGATCCATCTGTCTCCATTGCTTCTGTTTGTGCCCAAATCCCTAAAAATGCCTGGCAAAGACCTCTGTCAAGCATTGCTTTACCCAGCACAGGTCATAGAGCTTCTATCATGAATAATTACATATGTACAAGTATCAAAACACAGAGCAAATCAGTAGGCTATTATACACTTTATTTTCTTTAGGCCACTCCAGAGTAAAGTAACAATGCTCGGGGAAGAGATCATACATGAACTGAGCAGAACTCTATTTTAACACAGTTGAAATGAGCAAATTCTTATAAAAATCAATTATACAACTTAAATGCATTTGGTTCTTTCTTTTTGTGTTCTTATTTTTGTTTTCCTCAGCTTGGTTTGAAAATAGTCCAGAAGATCTGTCTGCTGTTCTTGAACTCAACGTCAAACCATGGCTCAGCAGGAAGGCTTTAGTTTTCAAGGTTTCTTAAGAATGTTCTCCCCTGCTTTTACTGCACAGGTAAAAAAAAAAAAATAAAATACCTAAAACATCAGCCGTTGTTTTGAACTGTTATGATGTAATATGCTATATTAAATATGTTGCTATATATATTAAATATGTATGCTATATTAAATATGTGATGTAACAATTGCTATAGCAACTATTCATTTTTTTTGTTCAAAAATTGAAATAAATAGTTGACATCATATTTCACAAATGAGATTGGGTGTAATACAGTAAAAGTAATATATTTTGTGGAAACTGAGTAAGACATACAGACTATCTTGGGCAAAGTATCACTTTGAGACCAAGACATGTGAAGTATATTAGCCTCTGTTAAATTGTTATTAAATGCAATATGTAATTAAGCTGAAGTAATCTAATTAGGCATCCAACTGACAAGGGTTTCCAGTTGACTGAGGTTTTGCAGTGCCCATTTTGTGCATGCCAGTAAATGTTAACCATCTTTGTGAGCAGCTGACCCTTGACAAGATGCCCCACTAAGAGATCATATCATATACAGTATGGTCTAAACATAATCCTGACCGCAGAAAGGTCAAGATTTTCCACTGTCTTTCATGTAATACCTTAGGGAGATTTTATTTTTCCGTTTCTCAAGCAAAATTCTATTTGTTGAGCTTCCTCTTCTTTGTTTCTGTTTTCTGAATCTCGAATTACTAATTGCATATGCAGCAAAGCTGAAGGAGATTCAATAGGATGTTTTGTATTTCAGACAGGATTAAACTTCTCCCCTATAGACCAATATTCCCAGAGTCTAATTCTTCACTATTAAGTGGGAATGTTGGTTGGTTATGAATAGAAGAATTTCCTATGAAAATTTAAAATGTACATTTAAAAACTGTTTGGATATGGTACTCAGGGATATGAGGTAGCACAGGGCTGTTAGAGTAGTATGATTATGTTGCAGTTGGACTTGATTTTTAAGGTCTTTTTCCAACCTGAGCAATTCTATGGTTAAATGTTTATGTACATAAACATTTAAATGCAGACTGTGTAAATGTCCATTCTTGTAGATCAAATAAGGCTTTTGCTCCTCTGTGGAAGGCAAGTGAATGAGGCCTGCAGCACTATAAAGCAGTGTTCTTATGCATGATGTTAATAACTGCCTAATTGAATGAAAGGGAAACCTTTATATAAACAGTGATTTTGTGGAATTTAAGTATTATGTATAGTTCCCAGATAGGGAACTATATGTAGCGTATCAGGTACTAAGTGGGGTGCTGTATTTCCTTAATAAATAGCCTAAGTAAACTGTCTTCCAAATGTGCAATAACTAGAAGGTGATGATTTGATTGGCAACCAAGCACTTGGTAACAGGAACCACTTGGTAACTAAAAGAAAACAGAAAAAACAAATGCTACAACAATGTTACCTATAGACATGAGAAACAAAGTAAGGTTTATTGAAACTGTATTTCACAGAGCTATTACAAGCACAAAACTACAGTAGGTATTAGCTATCTTCTCAGCTGAGTCGCTAATAATGGACTTCATGGCCCTTGCCCTGCTCTCAGGACTGTTCTAACAGTTATATAGTGTGCACACGTATGAGGGAAGCTCATCAAAAGCTGGCATCACTGGCTTTTTTTCTTCCTTTTCTAATGAAATGCCTGAACCTTAAGTTAGAGTCAGGTTTCTTCTTGGCTGTACTCCTTTTGGCCCACGATGCAGCATTTCTGGCTGTACTTCAAGAGAAAGGGTGGAGAACAAGTTAACCAAAATACCTCATGGCCTAAGCACTTCCATAACATATGAAAGATATAGGCTTAAGCATTCTCAGCTTGAAGAAAGCACAGAACTCATAATTCCTTGATGAATTACTGGAATATTGTACAAAATAGTGATTACTGGAGCATCCAAGTGCTTGTATGTTATCACATTCAACTTCAGAGAGTATTAATGTGGAATTTATATGGCTCTCTGCCTGAGCCTGGACCACAGCAGAATGCCATGAAGAGTATAATACACAGAGTTTGCCACTCCAGTACAGCCTCTTTCAATCATACAAGTTGCTTCTGGGCTAAGTGCAGAGATTGTATCTATATATGTTAATTTTGTCCCTGTGTATAGAAACCAGTTGATCACAGAAAGTGATCACAGAAAGTGTAAAAACAACAATTGACTATTGTGGCTTCAGGTGTTACCTGGGGAATTTTGCTGTTATTGTTTTGACATTTTCCAAGTAATACAGTAAGAAAGGCTTGAGATTTGGAAAAGTTACATGTGGAAAGGATGACTTTCTCATAAATGATTGTCCTTATGGCCCTCATTCTTTCAGGCATATTTTACCCCTGTAAAATCTACTGTGTAGCACTCCATGAGGAAAATAGTTTCACTCCTACAGCTTAAAAAAAATCCCACTGTATTTGTATAAATGCATTCAGTATAATTTTCAAACTAGTTGTGATCAATACAGGGTTACCCTTGTTTAAACGTCAGATCAATTAAAACTAAGGACCTGGTTCTGCACCTCTACTTAGGAAAACAGTTTAGTCTGAGGGCAGCATGCCAGACTGCTGCTATCCCTACCTTTAAATAAAGCACACGTTCAATTGAATCGAGGCCCTCAGAAAGCAAGGAGTGCCACGAATACTTCTGCATTTGCAACATTTAATTTAGCTGTGTTTCCGTGGTCTTAATGTCCTGAAGCCATAACAGAAATAAAAGACTGCTGGCAGACTCCATTTGAAATATTAGAAGAGTGTCCAAATGCTTACTGTTTATTTACACCAATAAACATAAATAAACCTCTCATGCACCACTTTTACCCAGAGGCTAGAGCACATAGTTTTACAGTAAGGTCATACTTACCCTCATGTTTTGGAAGTATAGTCTCTCTTTTAAGGTTCACAATTTTGTTCCAGCTCTGGATTTGTAAATCCATCTACTTTCAAAGAATTCAAAAGCTTCATAAAAATGAAGATTGCTTTAAGTCAGATGCAGCATTAAGCCTGATCTGGGGGGGGGAAAAAAAAAAAAAAAGCCATTTAAGCCACATGTACACACATGCGTTTCTTAAGAATATGTCATAGAATCACAGAATTGAGTTGGAAGAGACCCTTAAATGTCATGTCCAACTACAGTGAACAGGGACATGTGGAGCTCAGTCAGATCGCTTAGAATCCCATGCAGCTTGAGCAGCTTGTGCATGCTGATAGTCTCACTCTACTTGTGGAAATAATCCCCCCCAGGTTTCAGTGACAGCATCTATGTCATAATTTTCTAGTAGCAGAAAGTGTAATTTGAGAGGGCATTACTTGTTATTACAGGGGCCAAAGTAATAGAAGAACTGGCAGACAAATATATCTTATTCTGAACACAGATGAGATATGTAATACCCTTGCACACACTGCTGAGAAGATTAATACTTAAACTGAAAATCAGTATTGACCTCATTCGTATTCAAAAATAATTAGAATATCTATTCAATTCAGTTTGAATTTCTGCCACCTTCACATCTGTCTTCCAGTCCAACACCAGCTTGCAGGAAGAATCATAAGCTTGCTTAAATTATTTCTAGAGCCAGGAATCTGCAGTACTGCAGACAAGGTTTGGCTAAATATCCAAACTTCAGGACATGGAATATATGCAAGAGTCAGATGCTAGCCTACAATATATACCTCCTGCCTTTCTTCAGGCTGCAAGACATATAAAGCCAATTTAAAGAGTAAGTAAGGTAAGTAAGTATAGTAAGGTTAGCTCAGTGCTGTGCCCTTGCATAACAGTGGTGTTCAGATTCAGACAAGTGAATGTTGTTGGAGTGTCATCTCCTCTATTAATTTCTGGCCAAACTAAAAATCTGTGTAGAACATAACAACTGAGATATCTGACCAATTTAATTCTACTGACCTGTCACTCAGCACTAAGAAACCCCTGCTTAATTTGAAGACCTATTCTCACAAAAACACTATATTTGCTAAGCAGACTTCAGTCTGAAAGGGAACCAGTCACTCAAGGAAAAAAAAAAAAATTGACTCAGCACGAAATAATCCTCTGATTCCTCAAGTTATTTTAGTAAATAGTTTGTTACAATCTAGAATATTCTGATCTAAAGCTAACCATTTATAGATCCCATCTGAGCCTGACATTCAGGGAGTGTAACCTAATGTTTTGCTTTCTGGTGGTTCATCACCCAACTACAGAACTGAACTTTTCCAAATCTTTTCTATATGATAGTAGAACTGAACCCAGAGATTATTTGCACTTTATTCTTCCATAGGTACATGGTACATTTGGTACCATAGGTCTTCATGGTACATTTGTTAAGTTGTTTCAATTCTATTCCTGTATTTGTGAACTTCCCTGGATCTAATGACTAACTAAGCTTTCCATTGCCATCTCTGACCTAGACTGTAGATTGGCAGGACTATGGACTGACTCCTCCAAAAAAATCTCTTCACAAGATCTAGCACGATAGAACCTTGTATATTAAGATCTCCAACACAATACAAACATTAGGAGACATAGTAGTATATCACTGGAACTAAATTCAGTCACCCTACAGCACTGTATGCAGGCCCTGCAGAGACCTTGCAATAAGGAGGAATACAGAAGTGCAGAGTGATCTTCGGTTTTCCAGAGATACAGGTTTATCCCTTTCTATTAAATAACCAATAAGGATGAATAAGATGAAAGCCGTAAAACATGAATATTGGGAGTTATATGTCTCCCCAGTTGGGAGACATATAGGAAACTGGCTGTTCCTTTAGGATCAAAGACGCTATTTAAAATGAAATCAGTTTGTTAATTCTCTTAGTATAATAAACCATTGTTTTTTAGTGGAGTTTCTAGTAGTGCTTCTCTCTGGAGAAATAGCTATAAATATTCAGGTGACTTAACAACTACTTTGTTCTTAGCATCACATGGCTGATGAGGCATTACCTTTTTCCACTTTTTTTTTTTAATCTGCTCTATCTTATGCCATTGAGACTGTAGAAAATATTTTTTCAAACAGGATTACAAAAATCACAGAATCACAAGGTTGGAAACTAACTATAAGATCATCCAGTCCAACCATCTCCTCATCACCATTGCCACCACAAGCACTAAACCATATCACACAGCACGTCGTCCAGACGCTACTTAAACACTGCCAGGGACGGCAACTTCACCACCTCTCTGGGCAGCCATTCCAGTGCCTGACCACTCTCTGAGAGAAAAAGTTCTTCCTTATGTCCAACCTAAACCTCCTCTGATACAACTTTCGGCCATTACCCCTTGTCCTGCTCATTGCCTGGGAGAAGAGGCCGCTCCTCATAAGACTTGTGCTCCAGACCCCTCACCAGTTTTGTTGCCCTTCTCTGGACACGCTCCTGGACCTCGCCATCTTTCCTATAGAGAGGAGCCCAAAACTGAACACAGTACTCAAGGTGCAGCCTCACCAGTGCTGAGTAGAGGGGGGTGATCACCTCCCTGCTCCTGCTGGCCACACTATTTCTAATGCAGGCCAGGATGCCGTTGGCCCTCTTGGCCACCTGGGCACATGTTCAGCCGAGCATCAACCAACACCCCTCTCTTCTTCGCACTCATCCAGCCACTCATCCCCAAGCCTATAAAGCTGCATAGGGTTGTTGTGCCCAAAGTGCAGGACCTGGCACTTGGCCTTGTTGAACCTCATCCCATTCACTTCGGCCCGGTGATCCAGCCTATTCAAATCCCTCTGAAGGGCCTCCCTACCCTCAGGCAGATCAACACCACCTCCCAGCTTGGTGTCATCTGCAAACTTACTGAGGGTGCACTCAATCCCTTCATCTAGGTCATCAGTAAAGATATTAAACAAGATGGGCCCCAGTACTGACCCCTGGGGGGCACCACTTGAAATGGGTCACCAGCTGGACTTCACTCCATTCACCACTACCCACTGGGCACAGCCCTGTAGCCAGTTCCTTACCCAAAGAAGGGTATACCTGTCCAGGCCATGGGCAGTCAGGTTCCCCAGAAGAAGCCTGTGAGGGACCATGTCAAAGGCTTTGCTGAAGTCTAGAAAAACTACATCAACAGCCCTTCCCTCATCTACCAGACTGGTCACCCAGTCACAGAAGGAGATCAGGTTGGTCAAGCATGACCTGCCTTTCATGAACCCATGCTGGCTGGGCCTGATCCCCTGGACACTTTGCACATGCCATGCAATCTCATTCAAGATTATTTGGTCCATGACCTTCCCTGGTACTGAGGTCAGGCTAACAGGCCTATAGTTCCCCAGATCCTCCTTACCACTGAGGACCTCAGCCCTCTCCTTGACCTCAGTGACCACATTTCCTGCTGCATAAAGTATAGGATGAGAATTATCTTTGGTTCTTCTTTTGCTGTTGATATATTTATACAAGGATTTTTTATTGTCTTTTACTACAGAGGCCAACATGAATTCAAGTTGGGCTTTCGCCCTCCTAACTTCCTCCCCGCATACCTTAGCTACTTCTTTGTAATCTCCCCAAGTAGCCTGTCCTTTCTTCCAGAGGACGTAAACTCTCTCTTTCTCCCTGAGTATCAACAGTAATTCCTGGCTCATCCACACCAGTTAGATGAGTCCCTACGTCTTGCCTTACAGCACTCAGGGACAGCCTGTTCTTGTGCCTTTAAGATTTCCTTCTTGAGGACCATCCAGGCTTCCTGGGCCCCTTTACCCTTGAGAAGCGACTCCCAAGGGACCCCCGCTACAAGCACCCTGAACAGATCAAAGTCCACCCTGTGGAAGTTCAAGAAGGTAGTTCTGCTGGCCACTCTTTTGACATTCCCAAGAATGGAGAATTCTACAATTCTGTGATCACTCTGCCCAAGATGGTCCCCAACCTTCACTTCTCCCACCAGTCCTTCTCTGTTAGCAAAGACCAGGTCCAGCAGGGCACCGCTCCTGGTACGCTCTCCTAGCAGTTGCGTAAGGAAGCTATCTTCCACACAGACTAGAAACCTCCTGTACTGCTTCCTCTGTGCTGTATTTCCAACATATATCAGGGAAGTTGAAGTCTCCCATCAGAACAAGTGCTGGCGATCACATGACTTCCATGAGCTGCTCATAGAATGCCTCATCCAACTCTTCGTCCTGATTAGGCGGTCTATAATAGACCCCCACCAAGGTGCCACCCTTACAGGCCTTCCCCCGATCCTTACCCATAGACACTCCACTCTATCATTCCCAAGGATGCAGCACATCCTCTGTTAGATCACTGAGGTGACAGCAGAGCTGCTAATAATAGGGAACGTTTACCTCTGAGATTCTTATTCATTCCTCCACTCATTTAATTTAAATGGCTAAATTAACATGAAACTATGTATCCAGAAAGTCTAATACAGTAATACTCTGCATCTATTCCTCCCAGGCACATTGATACACTGTATTTGGTGGAATTGCATCTCCTCATTCATGATAGGCTTCCTACCAATCTGAGAGAAGAATTAAGGGAAAACTAGAACAGTTTAGTTCCCAGAAGATCCTAAGATCAATATAAGGTAGTACTTTATAAATAAATTACATTTTGAAACTTCACTTCTTTTTTTTTTTTTTTTTTTTTCCTTTTTTTTTTTTTTAAAGGGACAGACAGATTCAACATCTTCAAAGTGCTAATGCATAAATGTGTGATGAAGAAATATTTTCTTAATGATTGTTTGCACCTTTCAGGAGTGCAAAGCCACAGCTGGATTTTAATCTCTAACCATTTCCTCTTTGCTGGTGTGGGGATTGTTGCTGGATTTCCCTGAGCTTCAGGGACTTCCCCAGTACTGAAGTGTTTGGGGTTGTTGTTATTTTGCAAGGAGATTGCTCTGTATGCTTACCTACCTCTTCTGCACTTTTTCTCTTAGAGTGCAGAGATAATGCAGCACCATGAAATGAGGACACTCTTTTTCTGGGTCTAAATGGATCTTATCCTTTCTCTTTCCATGCCTTGGCTTTCTGTTCGTCCCGATCATTGGACTAGAGGATAATTCCTGTTGGGAGATATCTCAGGAGGATCTAGTCCA